CTGAAAATACAGCTTATTGCAAGGCACTGTTTTCACGAGATGCAAAAATACTGCCTGGCAACTTATTCTGAAGCTTTCCTTTATGAGTGTGTGAATTTTCAACCTGTTTTCTGATGATAGATTTAGTAAGAGATCCAGCTAAATGCAGGAATACTAGATACTGAAATACTAAAATATTACTTTTCCTCCCTGATTTTTTAGGTACAGAGTTACTGTTCCCATTCTATCTTATTCTCCTCCTTATCCCTTTTGTGCTTTACAAACTGCATTGATATTAAATGCAGTAATATTCTGTGTAAAGATGACTTGGGTTTTGTGATTTGCTATGTAGGGGGCAGCTCTTGTAATCTTCATAGCTTTGCTTTTGGTTGTGCTCCTAATAAGGTGGTTTGGTGTTTTTCTTTCAAAGTATGTTTTATGCTACTTACCTACACACAGGAAAGATCCAGATTACACTAAAGGATTTTTCTGAATAAAGGTGTATTGGTTCAATATTTACTTAATGATACCATAAAAATGAACAAGGAATTTCAGTCAAGGTCTGCTTCAATTTGATGTTCAGACATAGTGGCATAACTCGTACAGCCTAAAATTAATTTGTGTATCATGGCTTCAGACTAAACCATTTACAGATCGAATACAACTCTGAAGTATCCAGAGTGACATGCATGATGAAAAGGAGACTGAACTGGGCAGAACAACAGATAATGTTATTCCTGATTTAAATCTGCCTGTCAAAAAAGTTTATTCTCTTACATAAACTAAGGTCTCTTCTAGCTAATCGGGATTCAGAATTGTCACTTGGGGAGAATTAATTTTTCACTAATTAATGGTCACTGGTGACTGGCCCCCTTCAGATAATAAATGGCTTGTGTGTTTCTTACTAATCTGCTGTAAAATTCTACAAGAAGCTTTTAAATGTACAAAAAGTAGTGTAAGTTAGTGAGGTCTTGACTATGGCTAAGACTTCATATGTATCAATTTTTGCCTTTTGGTTGTAGTAGCATTTTAGTTTTGGAGTCATATTAAAATCGTCTGCTTTTGTAGCTGAAGAAGCATCGGTTCTTTCCATTCATGTTGATGTATCACAGAAATTTTTTATATCTATGGTTAACTCTTGTCTTCCAAGGCACTGTGCAGAAAATCACTTCCAGTTACTAAGGTTGTTAAATATCACATGAAGTTACTATTTATGTAGAAGGCAGTACCAGGAAGTAGACAAACATTATTAGGGCTGACGATGATGGGCAGAAGCTTCACTGCTTCAGTCACTCAGGATGGCTGGAAAAAGCATTAAGTACATGCATCTGTGGTAAGAACTCAGTCATAAGTGAGAGCACCTTCTGGAGAAGAAAATTCTCATAATTGCCAGTGATACTGATTGCTGTCCTCCACTTCTCACGGCAAGTGTTGGATTCCACCTACCTGACAAGGGCTTGCTCTACAGGTATTGGGGAACCCTATTTTTCTTTGAGCTTGTACGCATTTTATGCATTTAAACTTGCCAATCTTTCTCCTCCCTGCACTTTAGTGTTACAGTGTTGCGTCATTCTCCCCCCCCCCCCAATTTGTTCCACTTCCCTATTGTTATAATTCCTATTCTAACATCCGTACAGGTCTCCTGGCATCCTTTTCTGTTTCATCCCTTTTCCACTGGCACAAAACCAGATTCCACATCCAGGTGGTCCTTTACCTTAGTTTTTCTTACCTTTGGTGATACTTGCCTTGAGTATCCCTTGCTTCCCACAATCTAATTTCCTTATGTGCCTGCCTTCCTAACTTCATCAAATGCTTGCTTTCTTATCTCTTCTTCCTGCCTTCCTTTTGCAGTCAGTATGCTCTGAGAAGATCATAGCTCTATATGTTGTCTTTATCTTATTCCCTCCAGCTCTTGCGTTTTTGCAGAGGCAATATCAGATGAAGAAATTCAGGTCTTTGTTTCTCTTTCATACTCCTTTGCTGCTAATGAGACAGAATCAGCTCATTCTCATTTGTCCTTCCTCTTTGAGATGTTTTCATCCCTTTTTTCCTTGTGTCTCCCATAATGCTATAATTTGATGTCTCCCAGCTCCTCTTCCTGCCTCCTGATTTTGATTCTTGCTTCTCTGCCTCTTCCTCTCCTCATTTTTCCAAGCATATGCTGGAAGGGTAGACATTTGCATGTTGGTGATGGTTCTTACCCAAGTTTTGTATATTGCCTTACCTATTTTCATTTGACAACAGCCATAGCTTTTAATGCTCCCAGGCGTTAAAAAATAAAGCCCCAAAACTTTGATATAATTTGGTCTTCCACATGTTTTGCTATCAGGTGTCTGTGTTTGAATTCCTCCGTGGTTACTTTCACTCTGTCTGTTGTGGCAATACAGAGTTAGAACATGGGCCACTCTAGCCCCGTATTCCCCTGACTGGAGTGTAGTTGATGCTTGTGGAAAAAGTACAAGAATAGGGCAAATCCAGTGTGGTATTTTGTCTCAGCTTCCTGCACTCTGTGGGTTGAACTCGCATCATTGCTTCTGATACCTCTTGCTGGGCTTATTTTCAATGAATTAGTCTAATTGTTGCTTTAGCACATTTTGATTTTTGGGCATTCAAAACATTTTGTGGGAATGTGCTCTGTAGTTTAAATTTGTTGTATGAGATAACATTCCCTTTAAAAAACAACAACACAAAATCAAACCACCCCCCCCATTGTGCCATTTAATTTTTTGCCCTCTCTCCCCTGCTTATAGAAATTATGATCACATCCCGCACATATTTTAGGTTGCCCCTAAGTTTGTGGTTTTCTTTTCTCTCTCTTCAGTTATTTCCTTCTTCATACATTTAATCTCTGCTTGAACAGAATCCTCTCAGTATCTTTGATTTATCCTTGAAGCTCTTTTCAATCTCATCTATGTTTTCTTTGAGATGGGGTGACCAGAATGGTGTGCAGTATTAGAATTGTATCATTAATTTTGTATCCCGATGTACTGTTTTATTGTTTCATGGCTCCTAACACTGTATTTGCCTTTATAACCACTGCTGAGCATTGACTAAAGTTCTGAGAACTCTCCAGAATGACTCACTTTCCTGAGAAAGGATAGATAATTTAGCATCTGCCATTATGTACTTAATGTAGTGTTTTCTCCCCTGTGATTTAACAGCATTTAATTTCACAGGCTGTTTATTACATACACAGTGATATGAGATACTTGCGCAACTTACTGTACTAGGCTTTCACAAACCAGAGTATTTGTATCACTGGCATACCTCTTCAACTTATCTCCTGCCATTTCCATATAACTTCTGAGCTGTTACAGTTGTTGATCACTTTGTTCAGAAACAGAAGTTGCATATGCTGTTTTCAGGTTCCATAGAGACCTCCCCCATTGCCATTTTAAGAACTGGCATCACATATACTTTACCTATGATTTTCCTCCATCTTCTTGTTAAAGAAAGGCACTGTGTGTGAACCTTTAAGGGCCCCTGTATTGAACTGCCTTCCAAACCCTTGCTCTTACGAG